GGGTCTCGCTCTTGCTCAGGCTGGTCTCAAACTCCTGAGCTCAAACAATCCGCCCGCCTTGGCCTCCCAGAGTGCTAGGATTACAGGCGTGAACCACCACGTCCGGCCTATATCAGAATCTTGATCCACGCACTACAAATGCAGCCAAAGAAATGTCTATTAGAAGTACCCTGAGAGAAAATGAACCAAGAAAAAATCCTAAAATTCTTTGTTACTTCTCAGTTAAGATACATTATTATTTTTTTCTTGTCAATACTGTATTAGGATATATCATTTATTAATAAAATGCCAATGACTTTTATAAAGTTAATCCAAGAGTTGTTCTTTAACATGTGAAAGGAAACCTCGTTACCCCACTATTCCAAAATAGCAGTAGCCCAAACTAAACAGAATCTACCTATGATACTTGGGAATAATAGCTGGAAAGGAAGCAATAAAGACTTTCCCAAGGCAGACAAGCTCCCCACAGTTCATACGTGCAATGAGCGTGGCCTACCCAGAACTGGCCGCCTCTGTCTAGAGGCCAAGAACCCACAGCTCTCATCTCAGAAGGGGGTCACCTACCGGCAATGGCCTGTACAGCCACACGCAGAAATCCCCGCACTTCCCCTTTCTCACTGACAATGGCCACCCTGTGGATCAGGGGCACAGGGTACAGCAGATTGCTCAGGTAAACAAATGCCCTAGAGATAGAAACCAGGAGACAAACGTCAGAGCATCCCACGGAGAGAGAAGTTGGCTTTCAGATTCACTAAGAATATCTTCATGAAACTTTGTGCTGGCTTCTGGGCCTTGTCTTAAGATCACCTCTCAGCTTTATATTCTCAGATTGCCTCCACCTGCTTTTTCAGCAGAGAATACATGAACAAATGCACACACTTGGCAAAGCAGCTGACAAAGACCAACTTACACCAAATTACTCTATAAAAATTACTACTGTGGGTAGAAGAGTAACAATTGGAAATAGACTTTCAAGAAACTGCTCTATGAAAACTGCTGGGGGATGGCTGTAGGGTAGCAGGGAGAAGCCCGTTTAAGAGATTTTAACTTAAGGAATTATGAAGAGGTTTTATTTTGATTTTCCCATTGGATAAAACAGAAACCAGGAGACAAAAAAGGCAGGAAATGTGACTGAAATACAGTTAATAACTCTAAAAGAAATTTCACATCACAGCATTGTGGGTCTTTATTTTTACTCTACGAAAGGACTATTCTCTTCAGGCAGGGAGACTGACAAGGTGAGGGAAGCAGACACATATGGGCGGAAGGCTGTGCAGCCAGAAATTTCTGAGTGGTGGGCTTGGAGAAAGACGACTCTGGGCATCAAGATAAAGGCTAAGGGAGAAGACGACAGCTGCCCCCTAAAGGGTTTACTTTGCTCCTAGAGTCCAAAACTTAATCTATAAATGTATAAATAAAAGGTAAGTTACAGATCCAACACTTTATATTTCAAACAAACAAAACAAGCAAAGTCCTATAACATTTATACTTTTTTTCTTCTTTCCTTATTTTGTAGCTATTGATTTTTTTTTAAGCAAAGTGATCACAAAGCTTAACAGCGTTCATTTCAATTAGTGGAAGGGAAATAGAATCTAGTTCCTACTGTTACTCCTACCTTCCCACTTGGTATATGCTGATCTTTGAACATAAGGCAAAAGACAAAGAGTAAACACTTGTATCAAGAAATCAAACATAACTAAATGTGACACACATGCCTGTCTGCTGCTTTTCCTGCTCTGAAATCTACTTTAAAACAAAGGTAAGAAGGAGGATGGAGTGGATATTTGGGATTTCAACTCAACATAATGAAAGTTCTAGAAACAGACAAAATATACCACAGAAAAACAAATGTTAATAAAACTTTGAGAATGAAATATGAATGAACAGTAAAACAAAAATAACTGCAACAGAACATTAAATTAGATCAAATGATATCTACTTCCCTTTCAGTCTGCTCCAAAGTGGGAGGAGGAACAAGGCTAAGGAACAGGGTTAAAGCTTTGGTGCACAAAAATTTAAAATGAAAAGTCTCCTAAAAAGGATTATAAACAAGACCATCAAATACTAACTACCACAACAGGGTTTAAAAGACTAAGAATTTGGCATAAGCTATTAACATCACACACAGACCACTCTCCTCTTCCTGGCTTTCCAGCCAGACTTGCCCACTTCCAATGCCTGGACTGTAGAAGGCTCACTGCACATGTCCCCTGCCAGGAGTCTTCTCTGCACTCACTGCCCATGTCATGCCTTTGATTTCACATCTTCAGGTCTGATCTCAGATACTACTCTCTCATAACAGGCCCCCCAGTGTTATGATCTCAGCAACACACACAATTCTGTCATCACTGTTGTAATTTACATTTATTTGTGTGATTATTTATGTCCGTGTTATCCACCAACTGTAAGTCTGTAAGGGTAGGAATTATGTCTGGTGGTTGTTTTTTTTTTTTTTTGAGACACAGTTTTGCTCTAGTCTTGCCCAGGCTAGAGCACAGCGTGACGATCATTGCTCACTACAATCTCAAGCTCCTGGGCTCAAGTGATCCCCCCGCCTCAGCCTCCCCAGGAGCTGGGACTTCAAGTGCACGCCACCACGCCTGGCTAATTTTTTCTAGTTTTTGTAGAGACAGGGTCTCACTCTTGCTCAGGCCGGTCTGAAACTCCGAACCTCAAACGATCCTCCTGCCTCAGCCCCCTAGAGTGCTAGGATTATAGGCATGAGCCATCACACCCAGCCCATTTCTGGTTTTGCTTACCACTGTCTGCAGAGGGCTTGGCATACAGTAAATACACTCAATAAACATCTCGTAAGTAAACGTCTATGTGCATTAGGAAACAGGAAAATGATCTATCTGCTATCCTTAAGCAGATTTTCCAGAAAAATGGGTTACACCAGAAGCAGAGAAGTAAATCCATCCAACTTTATAGTAAGTTAATTTTTCAAAGCCATACTCATGATGGATATTAACTATTTAGGACACACTGAGATTCCTAACTATATCTAATTTGTTATCTTAAAAATAGCTATGTGAAAATAGGAGTTACTGCTTTTTTAAGAAAGCTTATCATATTCACACACACATTACAATACAGTACTGTTTGAGCACGCACTAAATACGAGAATTTCCTTTCTGCCTATGGCAATGGCCATTCCAAATGTGGAAGATTGAAGGCATTATTGTAGATTTCCCTTTTTAGGAAAGAGAATTCTATGATTCTATGGCAGATGCAGGGGCATCAGCTCTGTGACTATACAATCACACGCTCACAAGACAGCTCCTTGTCAAGTTACCAGATCAGAACATAGGCCTTAGCCCCAAATCAGTACTGTATAAAAGTTCTCTCCTGAAGCTTTTTAAACTGGAATTTTCCTAATTACTCTGCATTTTTGTGAGTCCTTATACTTTGACCTAGCAGACTGAAGGAGAGCAGGGATGAGAGAAGGGAAGATGTAAAGGACATATTAGCAGAAAGTTCTGTGAAGTTACATTAAAAAGAGAAACAAATCTGTCAACATAAAGATAAGAAAAATCAGTGTAATTATGGTGATATTTACAGAAAGAATGTCAGTCAAGGTACTCAGAGAGGCCACAGAATAACCATCCTTTGCCCCCTTTCAACCCAGAAAACTAGATTAAATATTTTACATTCATCACAAATTATGATGGATGCTTCATAACATCCCACCATGCCATAAGAGAACAGCTAAAGGGACAAGCTCTTTTAATTTTCATACAAAGATTCACCAGAGGCAGCCACAGCCAAGAAACAAATCTACAAATGGAATTTCATAAGAAATTGGAAATTTTTACAAGTGCATTTTATTACAATTACATGCCAGTAGGGGAAATTCAATCCTGTGAATCACAAAAACAGGAAAGAAGTTACTCCTCTTACACATACGATGACGACTAACAACTGAGAGATGTTGATTTATTATATATTTTGTTTGTAGAGGAGAAATGTAGTCAAGGGCAACAGTGGAGAGCTATTCCTCACTTCACTGATTGCTATGATTTTACCTCTTCCCCCAATCTCCTGGCAAGGCAAAGTTAGTTCTAGAACCTGGGAACCTAAACAAATGGAAAGGTCAATTCCTGAGCCACAGCTCCCTAAATATTTTATGTGAAAATCAAAGTACAATTGATTGCTTTATACCTATACTTATATCTGATATAATTAAAAGGAATAAAACTAGAGAGAAAATAATACATACATCTTAAGCCAGTTAATTTCCACATTAAGTGGGATTCTGACTCAAGTTTCCATACAACTAATTCCAAATACAAATGCTTCTTAGTAGAAGTCTTAACCAGGATATTCATTTTTCTTTTCTTTTTTTTTGAGACAGAGTCTTGCTTTGTTTCCCGGGCTAGAGTGAGTGCGTGGCGTCAGCCTAGCTCACAGCAACCTCGAACTACTGGGCTCAAGCAATCCTTCTGCCTCAGCCTCCCGGGTAGCTGGGACTACAGGCACGCGTCACCATGCCGGGCTAATTTTTTCTATTTTCAGTTGTTTGGCTAATTTCTTTCTATTTATAGTAGAGACGGGGTCTCGCTCTTGCTCAGGCTGGTCTCGAACTCCTGAGCTCAAACAATCCGCCCGCCTCGGCCTCCCAGAGTGCTAGGATTACAGACGTGAGCCACCGCGCCCAGCCAGAATATTCATTTTTCTAGTGTAGATGACAGAATATGAAAGATGAAAAAGATCTTTGAGATTCTTTTTTTCTGCCTATTTTACACTTGAGAACCCAACAGACCTCAGTTTAAGCTGCTTGTCCTAAGTTACTGGCAGAGATGGCCCAGGATCCAAGGCTTCTCCTCATAATTAGGCAGGTTCTCGTCATCGTGCTACATAAGATGAAGCTGCTGCCTACCCCTCAGCGTGCGGAGGTGTAGAGCACGTGCGAACAGCTTTGGAAGCTGTGCAACTGCCACTGGAACCAAGTTTATGGCCAGAATCTGGGTTCTAACTTCCACCCCTCTTAGAATTGTATGGAAATGTGCTGAAGGACACAGCCATAAAATAAAAAAGCATTATTATCCCATTATTTGTACATAACTTTCTCAATTTAAATATAAATCAGCTTCTCTGAAATTCTAAGCATCTAATCGTGGTGCGACATCAGTACAAAACACTCATAGCTATATAATCCATTTATGTTTAATCATGGAAAACCTGAATTCTAAATGCCCCTTTGCCACTGTAAAACTCAGAGACTAATGTTATGACCCAAAGTCGTAATCAAGGCTTTCATTTCTCTCAAAAAAGCTTTCCTTTTCCCCCTTTCCATAACAGTGATCATCTTCTAGTTATGATGCTCCCACCAGGTGACCAACACCACACTTTGAGCTAAATTTTAGAATCTATGTCTCTACTGGGTCAGGAGACTCACTGTACTTTAATTTTTAACTGGCACTTATTCCCTTATTTTTAAAGGGTTTCTACAATATGTGTTTCTAATGTACCATTACAGTTAAATTTAGTACTTTAAAACCTGGACATACTTTTTGGTTAACCCAATGAGTACTCCATTGTCAAACTTATAATTAAAATTACTTCAGCATGAAGACTGGATGTAGACAAAGACAACAGTACCAGGAACATGTGCATGGAGAGTTCTGCAACACTGGCAGAAGGACGCACAAACTGAGAGCAGAGACAATGCCTCAGTTTGGTGAACCAATCTTAATACAAAGCAGTTTCATGCAGCACTGAACAAATATTCATTGTTGATAGTGTCAATAGATGACTTTCCAACATTCAGTATTATAAAGCTTATAAGTAAAATTTTAGCAGACACCAAAGACCTACAGATAGGCTCAGTGAAACTGGCCAAATAAAGGCATCTTTTTAAAATTAATTAATTTATTGATTTGTTTTTTTGGTTTTTTTTTCTTGTAGAGACAGAGTCTCATTTTGTTGCCCAGGCTGGAGTGCAGTGGCACAATCACAGCTCACTGCAGCCTCGAACTCTTGACTTCAAGTGATCCTCCCTCCTGCCTCAGCCTCTTGAGTAGCTGGGACTACAGGCACGTGCCACTACACTCAGCTAATTTTTAAAATTTTTTGTAGAGACAGGGTCTCACTCTGTTGCCCAGGCTGGTCTCAAACTCCTGGCCTCAAGTGATCCTCCCACCTTGGCCTCCCAAAATGCTGGGATTACAGGCATGACCCACAGCACCTGTTTTATTAGACAAAGGAGAAACTTGACTTTGCTGATTCTTTTTAGGCCTTAGTAGACCAAGCAAAAAATAAACCCAACACTACTCCTAACTCCACTTAAGTCCTCTGATTCCTGTAGTGCCACAAATTCTTTAGCCTGACCTTGCACTTGCTCTGCTCCCTTTATCATGTTATCCCCACATGCTTCCTCAATCATATTCCTTTAAAAAGGAAACATCTAGACTACAATACCAATGTTGAACTCATTATGTTTGATTCTTAGCTTTAATTACTTTCTCCTTTGGGGTTTCCTCCTTCAGAACAAAATTATTGGGCAATTTAAGACAAGGGGTCCTCCACGAAGAGTCTTTACACATTACTGTATGTTGGGCTGAGTAGACTGAGTACTGAGTACCTTATAAACAACGCCTGTGAGCTCTCTGTAGCCAGACTGCCATTTATAAAGAACTTGAAGTACTGGTGAACTTGGGACAGAGTGTTCATGAATTGAATTGGCTAAAGTAAGATTATCCAAACCTGCACAAAGAGGCCTTTAGATCAAGAGCTGGTCCCTTTTTGCCTTTCTCACAATAACCTCACCAACCTTCCCACTAAAATGAACCAAGGGGATCGGTCGTAAAACGGGTCATGCCCGTCACTGAAGAGATCTGATCCCTCCTCCGTCCCTGCGTCAGAGCCGGTGTCATCCACGAATGCCTCATCATCAAAATCCTCCATCTCATCGTGCTGCTCGTCAGCCAGCTCAGTGATGTCGGAATCGGCCGTGGAAAAAGTGGGGGAGGGTGTGCGGTCGGCAAGGCGCTCATTCACACAGCCGTGGAAAATGGGGGAGCTAGACACCACGTAAGATGACGATTAACACAGCCAGGGAGAGAGGAATAGTTGGTTAAACAGGAAGCTATAGGTGCCAAAAGGACAGAATCCACTGGGGAATCAACACAATAAAAGCAAATGGAAAAGGAAAACGATAAAATAAACATAATCATCTGGATCAGATGAAAGGGAACAGGGCAAGTTGAAAAAGTTAAGCAAGGATTGATCCTTAGACTAAGAAAAGCAAAGGAAATACATCAGTAGACCATCCCAGGTAAATATTGTGCTATAAAATGCTTATATTCTCCAGTTTGCACAAAAGATTATCATCCAGGCCTCAAAGGAGCCACTCAAGATTAAGGTGAAATAACAAGGCTTCCAATCTTTATTTAAATTCTCATGTCATCTCGAAGCAGAAAACAAAATGGATGAAATGGTATATGCCAAAGCAGCACGTGCTTTTCTTGGGTAAGATGTGTTTGGCCAGTTCATCTCTTTAAAAAAAAACTATTTTACTATCAGAGTAGCGTGGAAAAGATTTACTTCATTTCCACAAAATACTATGACTTCAGCAACTCCTTTTTACCTAGTACCTTTAAAAAAACATCACAGGGTTTTTGCAATTGCAAAACAATTCAAATTCTGAAATCATTAAGCTCAAACTTAAATTTCCCCTGCTTTAAAAATTCTAAACCTTTAAGAACTTGACTCAATATGGACTCACAAGGCCAAGCACAGTGGCTCACACCTATAATGCCAGCACTTTGGGAGGCCAAGGCAGGAGAATCACTTGAGCCCAGGAGTTTGAGACCAGCCTGGGCAACAGAGTAAGACCCTGTCTCTATAAAAAATTTAAAAATTGCCTGGAGTGGTAGCACACACCTATAGTCCCAGCACTTTGGGAGACTGAGGCAGGTGGATCGCTTGAGCCTACGAGTGTGAGGCTACAGTGAGCTATAGTCATGCCACTGCACTCCAGCCTGGGAAACAGAGAGAGACCCCATCTCTTAAAAAAAAAAAAAAAATGGACTCACAGAGGCACTACTTGTTTTCATTAAATGTTGGAAATGATCTATACATGAACGAGGCTCAAGGGGACTAACAAAGTGTGCAATTAGTTCACCCTTGGCAGTGACTAAAGTGGGATGAATTGCTTAAAAAAAAGTTGAAGACAAAAAAGATTGCAGTCTGACAAGCCATACTATGATTTTAAACTGTGCAGGATACAGACATAGGTTTCCTTTTTCCTTTAAATCTACCTTTTATTTTATTGTTATTTCTCTTTAGAAATAACAAGCAATCCTCCTGCCTCAGCCTCCCAAAGTGCTGGGATCACAGGCATGAGCCACTGTGCCTGGCCTTTTAAAGCTATATTAATCAACTGTAAAATATTTTGTGAGTAAATTGAGAGCCAGGGAAGACTGTTAGGTTGAAAGTTTGAGACTCAAGACAAATATGCCTGTTGAATAAAACAAAAAGGAAATATACCAAATAACATAGTGGTTGTATGTGAGTAGGGAAGATTATAGACAGGGCTTTTTTATATTAATCAACTGTAAAATATTTTGTGAGTAAATTGAGAGCCAGGGAAGACTGTTAGGTTGAAAGTTTGAGACTCAAAACAAATATGCCTGTTGAATAAAACAAAAAGGAAATATACCAAATAACACAGTGGTTGTATGTGAGTAGGGAAGATTATAGACAGGGCTTTTTTATATTCCTTTCTTTTTTTTTTTTTTTTTTTTTTGAGACAGAGTCTCGCTTTTGTTGCCCGGGCTAGAGTGAGTGCCGTGGGGTCAGCCTGGCTCACAGCAACCTCAAACTCCCGGGCTCAAGCGATCCTCCTGCCTCAGCCTCCCGAGTAGCTGGGACTACAGGCATGCGCCACCATGCCCGGCTAATTTTTTCTATATATTTTTAGTTGTCCAATTAATTTCTTTCTATTTTTAGTAGAGATGGGGTCTTGCTCTTGCTCAGGCTGGTTTCGAACTCCTGAGCTCAAACAATCCGCCCGCCTCGGCCTCCCAGAGAGCTAGGATTACAAGCGTGAGCCACCGCGTCTGGCTATACTCCTTTCTTTTAACTTTTTATAATACCTGCTGAGATTTTAAACAATTATAAGTATTTATTATTTAAAAAGAAGACATCAACAAAATTATCACATACCTCCCCACAAGTTTGAACCAGTGGAACCGATCGTAGAACGGATCGCTGCCAGTTACAGTGGTGTCGCTTTCGTCTTGGGCACTGGAGGCCATCTCCCCTGCCCTGTCGTACATCTCTCGCATCAAATCTAGCCTCTGCCTATTTAGTAAACATAAGGTGCACTGGGTTAATATCATGAGATTGCATTAAAATTGTGCTTTGGAATCATCTTCCATGCAAATTTTTTTTAAAAAAGAAGCTGCCTCTACCATTTAATGTTATTTAAAAAGAATGAAGGCCAAACTTACAGAAACCAAAATAGCATCCAAAGTGTCTAAGTCTAGAAACAGCCACCAAAAGTCAAGAATGGCAACCTGTCCCCACCAGTCATGACAGTCACAGGGGAAATGTAGTTCAACGGCACATGACATCTCAAATACACTGAGACAGTGGGAAGTATGTCATCACACTAAATGTGAAGGGAGCTGTGTTATAACTTCCCTGTTTATTATTGATCATCGCAAGGTCCAGAACAGAAAAGATGAGTAATTTCTAGATCCAAGGCAGAAATAAATATGGAATGGGAACATTTAAAATATAAAAGAGAGTCTATGGAGGGTAAATTTACATATGTACGAATGTCAAAGGTGTTTGAGGCGTAGGATTCATTCGCTTAAAAGAAAATGGATGCATGTTAGTATTACTGGCCAACAAAAGCATTAAGAAAGTACAGAAAAGGAAACAACAGTGGCTGGTCCGAGTGCAATGGTCTTTACAACTAATGGATCACAGCTAGTTATAGATTTCATTCTTCCTTCTCTACTCCCACGGCTTCACTTGACTAGCCTTTAAAAAAAGAAGAAAAGCAAGCAACAGAGAGGAGAGTTTGAGGGAATCCACGTGAGCAATTCATTATTATTTCCTAAATAAAACAATCAGCTTTTATGAATGTTTTCATACTTGAGTTTCTCCAAAGACCAATAATGTGTTGCTCCATTCTTCAGATCCTGGACTTCTACGGCCACCACTGTACGAGGGAAAGGCCTGTCCTCATGAGTTTTTTCCATCTCAGTGGGAAGTAATTCAGGAGGCAAAGGGGAGTACAACGTGTCAGTCAGCAATACGAACTGAAACTGCACCTGAATGGAAAGAAGCGACAAATGGTTTTCAGCAAGTAAGCTTCACAGATGAGGGAACGGAATCATGCCCAATAGTAAAGAAAGAGGTCAAACATGTACTATTTGCTCAACAAATAGCTTGTGACTAACTGAAAACAATGGCCACCTATACAGTAATCATAGGAATAATCCTAATTTCAAATTCAGCTATTTACATACTTTATTTTCCTAGCCTAGCAAACTAAAATCTCAATAAATATATTAGAGTTGACTGAATGAAGACTTTTGTGGATCTTATACAAGAGACAAAAAGGGCTGGTGCAGTTGGCTCATGCCCATAATCCTAGCACTTTGGGAGGCCTACATGGGAGGATCACTTGAGCCCAGGAGGTTGCAGTGAGCCATGATGATGCCACTGCATGTCAACCAGGCAACACAATGAGACCTTGTCTCAAAAAAAAAAAAAAAAAAAAAAAGGAAAGAAAAGAGACCAAAACGTGGACGCAAGAATGCATCTGTAATCCCTTAGTAATGAAGGAGGAGGGAAACACATCAAGGTTTTCCATTTCAAATTCAGAGATTACAACTACTACTCTTAAAAGTGTTTACTGTACAGTAAGTACTTTGCATGCATCATGTCATTTATTTCTCACTCCCACCTTATATTTTCACCAATATTAATTAAATGCTAGGTACAGCAGTAAAAAACAAAAAAAGACAGAGTTACTGCTTTTAGTCTACTTGAGGAAGGGAGTAATTAAAAATAATAACAAAATGACAAGGACTGCTGAGATTATGAGTAAAGAAGACATCTTATTCTCAGTTTAGAGAACTAGAATATATCCCTAGGAGAAGATAATGTATTTCCCCAAAGTCAGGCAGTTTGTGCTCTTACCTACTATACAATATAGTCTCCCATTGTAATCTCAGCAGTTAAGAGATTGTTAAACAGTGGGGACATACAGAAGGCTGAATCTAAGAGGTTTGGTGTGAAGTTCTGGTAATAATTAAAAAAACAGATAACATTCATTGTCTTTTACCAGTCCCCAGCGCAATTTTATTTTTTTCAAGACAGGGCCTCATTCTGTTGCCTAGGTTGGAGTGCAGTGGCATGATCATAGCTCACTGTAATCTCAAACTCCTGGGCTCAAGGGATCCTCCCACCTCAGCCCCCTGACTAGCTTGGACAACAGGTGTGTGCCACCATGCCCAGCTATTTTTTTTTTTTTATATTTTTTCATAGATCTGGGATCGCTATGTCTTGCCCAGGTTGGTCTCAAACTCCTGGCCTTAAGCACTCCTCCCACCTCAGCCTCTCAAAGTGCTGGGATTATAAGCGTGCACCACCATGCCCAGTCTCCCCAGCACTATTTTAAGTGCTTTCTGTGTGTTTTATTCACACTTTCATTTCTTACAATATCCTTTGGTGGCAGTCACTGTTGCTAAGCCCATTTTGCAGACGGTGGCATAGATGCACAGAGCTATCAGAGTCAATGCAACTCGCAGAGGTGGGGTTCCACCCTGGACTGCCTGGCTACAGAGCACACACACTTGTGCACTGTACAACAGTGCCTCTCAGACCCTAGAAGAGGAGCAAATTAGTAGCAAAAGGGCACATAGGACTTAGAGGCACAAACTTAATGGTAGAAAACTAAAAGAAAATTAAGACTTTTTAGAAACCCAAGAGAAGCATTTTTCTACTACTATGTTTCTCTAGCTCCTGTCAGGAATACAGTCTCTTCATCTATAAAATAAGCTAGAAAACATCTATTTTTAGGAAATGTTTATTTAATAAAAATTTAATTAGTTCCTACTATGATCCGGGCATATATATTAAATAAAAGCATATATAAAGCAGTTTTATTTCACAAAGCAGCTGAGTTCCCCCAAGGGAAAGGTTAGTTCAAGGTGAGAGCCCAGATGCACCCATGGCAGGCTCAGCTTTGCCTCCCAATCGCCCATGTTCTCGTCTCCTCCATACCTTCTTCTTCAGTTCCACGCTGATGGCATTGGCCTCCTTTAGGTACACAGCATTGCCCCAGAGTAAGTCCCTTAATGAAGTAAACTGGTGAGACTTCCATTTCCGGAAGGCCCACTGGGCCAACTCAAATTCATGCTGTGTCCAAGGAACTGAAAGAGCAAATGAAGCATGTTTAATGGTGATCTCATAACTACACACACATCGCACCCCTCCCTCTACCTTATCTCTTTTATCAAGTTGAGGTATTTTCCCATTTCTTTCCATTCAGTTGCTTTTGTTTTTCTTCTTTTTAGTAAAGCTTACTGATTCTGTTGATTTTATGAAAGCAATATACATATTTCAGAAAACCTAAAAAATCCTACTCCTGTATTTCTTTAAAATGGTATATCAAAGAAACAGATTTCTCTTCCTTTTTTAAAAAAAGATATAATTATACTGTGTGGCCATAATAAAAATAACACCCTTGATCCCTGGTATACTGTACAACTTCACATATTTCTTTTTTTTCTTTCTAGTACAGGGGGGAAAGGTCTTATTTCACTTAGTTAAAAATAAAGAATTCAGTACATAAATTAAGAGTTTCTTCAAAGTTAATGTAAAGCCTTGAGATTACTAAGAAGTTGGAAAAGAAGGTGGAAAAAGGAAGTGTGATGAACATTCACACTATATTATAAGGCAATAATTAACAACGAAAGCCCTAATTCAGCTAAGAAATCCTGGAAAACTTAGGCTAGCATAATTAAGCAATGTGATTAGAAATATGCCAGAAATGGCTTTGAAATACACTGATACATTCCAAAGTCCTCACTGGCAAATCTCTCATACAAACCAGCAAATCAAACAGACTATCTTAATAAAAATTAAGCTCTATGTTTATTTATAACAGATATATGAACTTCATATGCACAGAAATATTGGACAGTACACGTAAAACTTCCTGAGAGATTTCTATGAAGACTGTGCTCAGCAACCTTGTGAAGTTCTAAGGAACATCATCAGCCCCACACCCACCTCATAAAATATAGTCTCGATTCTCAGCACTGAGCATCTTTCAAATCATCTTTAAATTGGCTCAGTAAAATGTTGATAAATGGTATGGCCAACCATGAGGAATCTAGCTTTAGATACAGAAAAAGGACTAATCTGATAACAAAGATTCAAAAGATACACATGGGAAGGTTGTGGTCTCTAGATTTCACCTTCTTCCTCCTCTTCTTCCTCTTCAGTTGTCTCTGCAGCTAGGGATCTGGTCTCGACCTGCTTCTGCAAGGCCTGCAATTTACTCTCATAGTCCTGAATGAAAAGAAAGGAGATAACATGTAGGAGAGAGAAGAAATAAGAGGGAGGAAAAGAGAAATGGAAGGAATATTGAGGGAAGTAGAGAAAGCAAAGGACAAAGAAAAGAGAGGCAGAAGAGGAAACAATTATGAAAAGATAGACATACAGAGAAATGTTCAGGGAATAAAACCACAAAACACACAAGATATAACAGGTAAAAGCTAAAAAGAAAAAAGTTTTTCACGTTTCTACTCCCTTAAAGACTCAAGAATTCTTTATTTGAGCTGTGGTATGAAAAGGGGGGATGTTGATGGGAAAAATATATTCATCACTTAAATATTAAAATACGTTTAAGTAATATATCTTACTCATCAAGGAATTCCAGAGAAAAACAATATTGAAAAAGTAAATTCACCAGTATCACCAAAGTCCCACCTATCTGTTTGGAAGGCGAAAAAAATTAGGATTGTAGACTCTGAAACTCCCTGTGGGTGAAAAATTACTATCTTTGCAGTGGTAGGATGAGTTTAGCCTACAGGTAACCAAAAATCTCAGAGTTAAAATAATTTATAGGGCCGGGCGCGGTGGCTCACGCCTGTAATCCTAGCACTCTGGGAGGCCGAGGCGGGCGGATTGTTTGAGCTCATGAGTTCGAAACCAGCCTGAGCAAGAGCGAGACCCCGTCTCTACTAAAAATAGAAAGAAATTAATCGGACAACTAAAACTATATAGAAAAAATTAGCCGGGCATGGTGGCATATGCCTGTAGTCCCAGCTACTCGAGAGGCTGAGGCAGTAGGATCGCTTGAGCCCAGGAGTTTGAGGTTGCTGTGAGCTAGGCTGATGCCACGGCACTTACTCTAGCCCGGGCAAAAGAGTGAGACTCTGTCTCCAAAAAAAAAAAAAAATAATTTATAGACTGCATTTAGTTAAGCAAGAAAGACACTTTATTTTAAATATACGATTATAATATAAAATGGATTACTATGATACAAATCAGATTTATCCTTCATTTTTCCATTTACTCCATGCATTTTCAATAAGGGGAATACCACCCCCAAAGGCACCATAAATGGTTCTCAGGGGATAAAAAAACTTACTCTTTTTACATATAAAGCACAGATATATATACAGTATACAAACAGATAATAGTATATATGAGGTATTAAAATATCATGGTGGGGAGACTATGGAACAATTATCTAAAAAGGCTCCTTAAGGTGTTAAAGGAAAAAAGCCCAATTTTTAACTAAAATTAAACAAGCATGGTTAGGAAAAAAGACTTTCACATAATAAAATACTAAATTATAGTATAACCATAGCATTTTAAGATCTACCGCCAGGGTTTCCTGTTTCCTTTCGTTCCTTAGCAGTGACCCAATTACAGGCTGTCATGAGACAGAGGGTTTAGGTATGACCATGCACTGTTTTCTCTTCTTTCCTTTTTTTCTTTTTTTAATTTTTTAAGCACTTGATCATATAAACAGATGCATGCACTGTTTTCACACAGAGTTCTCCAAGTCACACATCAAACATTCCATGCATCGCAAAGCACTGCTGAAAGCCTCCTTAGCAAATCCCATTACAAAAGGAGCTCCAGATGGCAGTGCTCAGAGGGATGCCAACATTCTCTAAGGTTCTGGTCATTTATCAGTTAGCCTCACAAAGGAAGTGTTCATTCTTTAGTGGGGCTGGCAGTTACCAAGGCGAAGAACCAGCAACACAGCTTTATGAGATTATCTAAACACACTTTTTAAGATACTATGTACTGCAGCAAAAGAAAGAAAAATTAAACTAGCAGGCAAAATACTTGGGTTTGGGTCCTGGCACCCATTCTTACTAGCTTTCTAATTCCAGGAAAGTTAAATCCTCTCTAAACCTCACTTTCTTCATCTTTAAACAAAGATTTTAGCATTTGATCTTCCTACCACACACGACTGCAGAAAGGACTATAAACCATTTAAAAAACATGAAAGTCTTCCTAAATGGTAACACACTATCAAAAATGACAGGAAATGTTTTTAAAAAGCATATTTTTCTAAGCATACCTGGCACCCAGATCTTGGTTTCTAAATATACTATTGCCCAATAAATGGAACCAGGGATCCTTGAGAAAATGGCTGATTCAAGGTTTGGAGCAAGGAAAGTACAAGGTAAGCCCATAGTATTTCGTGCCAGAAAAGATGGAAGAACTCAAAGACTGCTGGGGCCATTTCAAAAGGACACAGGCTTCCACTGGCTAATAAATTGGAAAAACCACAGAAAAAGAATACAGCACATTGAGTATACAAAGAATCCATGAGTTCATAGTGAATACAGCACATCGAACATAGAAAGAATCCATGAGTTCATACTGATACTGAAAGAAGAAAAAAAAAAGGGGGAAACTCTTCTTTTAAAAAATAAGCTAGCTAATTGCTGGGCACAGTGAGAAGCATCTGTAGTCCAGCTACTCGTTAGGCTGAGGATCAATCACTTGAATCCAGGAGTTCAAGGCTGCAGTGCCCTATGATGGTGCCTGTGAACAGCAGCTGCACTCCTGCCTGGGCAATATAGCAAGACTCTGTCTCAAAAAAAAAAAAAAAAAAGCTAGAAGGAATAACAAATGGAAAATTGCCATATTGCAACCCCAGATGCACTAACTGAATCAGGCAAGAATCATTAATAAGTGCCAAAATAATTGGGTGAAAGATGAATGAGAAAGAGAATATTCACACGATCCAAAGTCCACCCCCAGATACCTATTAATAAGAAGGGAAATGATACATTTACAATGGAGAGAGCTGGGAAACATCACATTAACCAAATTTATTAAACTTTAACATCAATAATAGGACATATTGACTTTTTATGTCTACTGATGTGATGCATTGGGAAGTGCACAATGTTACCTTTATAGCATGTTTACCAAAAATGTTTAATCTACGTTTAATCTTGAGGAAACAACCAGACAAATCAGAATGTGGCCTACACTCTCCAAAAATACCAGTGTAATGAAAGATAAAAAACATCATGTCCAAGTAAATGCAAAAACCTTGATTGGATCTTGGATTAAAGCACACATGCACACACACACTCTCACACTCTTTTTTTATATTTTTGAAATAATTAGGGAAATCTGAAAATGAACTGTGTATTATGTAACACTAAAATCAGTATTAAATTTCTTGGATGGGATAGTGGTATTAAGGGAATATCCTTGATTTTAGGAGATAAACGTGGCAGTATTTGGGGTAAACTGTTATGGTATCTGCAACTTTCAAATGTTTCAGAAAAATATATAAATGTGGGTATACAAAGGTTTATTGAACTATTTTTTTTCCCCAGACAGCGTCTCACTCTGTCACCCAGGCTAGAGTGCAGAGGCACAATCACAGCTCACTGCAACTTCAAACTCCTGAGCTCAAGCAATCCTCCTGGCTCAGCCTCTAGAGTAGCTAGGACTACAGGTGCACACAACACCATGGCACGCACACCACCATGTCCAGCCAATTTTTCTTCTATTCTTTTTTCTTTTTGGTAGAGATGAGGTCTTGCTATGTTGCCCAGGCTGGTCTCGAACTCCTGGGCTTAAGCAATTTACCTCAGCCTCCCAAAGTGCTAGGATCACAGATGTGAGCCACAGAGCCCAGCCATTGTACTATTTTTTCAGCTTCTCTCTAGATTTGGAATGTCTCAAAATAAAACATTGGGGAATGGGAAGTTTTTTTCCCCGTATAAAAACAATATATTGTATGGAATTCTTTCATCAAAAAGAGAAAGGCTGCTGGTATACCAAAAAGTCATCAGGTGGAACAAATATTAATCTTTCACCTTGAGGATTTCTTCAAGATTAAGTTCACAAGCTAGTCAAAGTAAAAATGAACACAAAATCCTTAGACTCTGACAGTCAAGGTATGAGGATGACCTTCCCAACAGTTCCTGTTGTGCTTTAGTGACAATAAAATTGATTATAAAAGACTTCCCATAGCCCCATGGACCTAAAAACTTTGACTACATTGTGACCAGCAACTGGTAGTCCAAATATCAACACCATTTCTTAAATCCGCCCCCTGCCCAAACCAGGTCACTTAGCTTCCAACAAGGACACTTTGTTTGTCACCATTTCATACTACAAATGGTTAAAGATTTAGATACTATTGTTCTGTTCATTTCATGGGGAAAACCAGGATAATTACGGAACGCACACTAAAAAATAATATATTTTTTAGTAGTCATTTCTGTTTACATAATAAAAAGTCCTAACTAGTTCAAAATATGCCCCATATTTATAAAGGTACAACACTGGCTGTTTCCTCTTATAGAATATTCTCTTCTCTCTTCTACCTTACCTACCTTTGTTTTTAGTCTTACTTTGTGTCAGGCACTGTTCTGTTTTTTTTTTCTTTTGAGACAGAGTCTCTTCTCCATCACCCAGACTAGAGTGGGGTGGTGTCATCATAGCTCACTGCAACTTCACACTCCGGGCTCACGTGATCCTCCTGCCTCAGCTTCCCAAGTAGCTGGGCCTATAGGCACAAGCCACCAAGCCCAGCTAATTTTTTCTGTTTTTAGTAGAGATGGGGTCTCGATCTTGCTCAGGCTGGTCTCAAACTCCTGAGCTCAAGCAATCCTCCCGCCTCAGCCTCCCAGAGTGCTAGGATTACAGGTGTGAGCTACCGCGCCCAGCCTAACACGGATTATTTTAAGCTTCCCAATAACCTTATAAAGATAGTACTATAGTTAACCTCCTGTTAAAGAGGAAGAAAAAGGCTTAAAGAAACTGAGTACCTTTCCAGAGACCACAGAGTTAAGCAAGTGGTGGTAGAAATGGGACTTGAACCCAGGCAATCCAGAACATGGTTTACTTTGTTTTGTTTTGTTTTTGAGGCACGGTCTTGCTTTGTTTTCCAGGTTAGAGTGCAGTGGTATCAACATAGCTCACCGCAACCTCAAAGGATCCTCCCACCTCAGGCTCCTAAAGTGCTAAGATCATAGATGTGAGCCACTGCGCCTGGCCCGGAGCATGCTTCCTAA